AGTGAAGTATAATGGGCCACAAGAGTTTTGGATAGGTGTAGCATGCCTTGTGTACCTTCCTCCAGATAAACCATTCTTCACTTAATTTCCCGCCTTTGTCATTTAGTGGTTATGATTTAATTGTGCCTTCCAACTCTTTCCAAATCTGTCATCTCCAGAATATAACCAGGATGCCAACGGTCCAGTAATGCCAGTCTTTGAACACCAAGCCTGCGACTTCCTGGTGACAGCCAACTGACCAGGATTCTGTAAGGTCCTTCCCCTTACAGGAAGGATTCCCTCCGTGCTGTACCCCCTCCCCCTTCAGGGCATCCCTGACCCACGGGTAGGTAGAACAATGTCCATTTCCAGCCGGAAGCAGTTACAAGAAGATAAGACCTTCAACATTGTCCTTTAAAGGAATTTAAAGTGGGTGTATATCTGAAATGAGAGATTGTTGCAGGATGCAGACAAGAGAGGAGACCCCAAATGGGCATTTAAAATGGGGTCCAGAACTCAAGGCGTCCAGGAGATTTTAAGATGTCTTCACCCCTTCCCCCACAGGTATGAGTTGGGGGAGGGGCACACAAGGCGAGAACATGCAGGGCTGTTTTGTACAGCAACAGCTTCACAGCCAATCCATGGCATAGTCATTTGACATACCTATAGCCTTCAGCTGGTCACTTAGATATGCTGAATAGCTGTGGCCATGCTCTGGGCCAGGGAGATAAAGAAAAAGTCCCCCCACCCAAGATGTGACTGGGAGGCAGGTCCCCTGAGTTACAGCACCTGCGTGGGAGCTTGGAGAAGATTGGCTCCATAACATGGGGCCACACCTGCCCAGACCCATGATGGCAGCCAGACGAGAGCAGGTACTGGCCTGTCCAGGATCTGCGGGCCATCTACGAAGCAGCCGTCACCCGCCACCCGGTGGTCCTGAACCCATACACCCTCCTGAGCCAGCTTCCTCCAACAGCAACGTGGTTTACCTGCCTTGATCTGAAGGATGCCTTCTCCTGCATCCCTGTGGCACCTTCCAGCCAACCCATTTTTGCCTTTGAATGGAAATATATGCACACAGTGGTCAAGACTCAGTTGACCTGGACTAAACTGCTCCAGGGGTTTAAGAACTTCCCAACCTTATTTGGGGAAGCCCTAGCAGGAGACCTGAAGCCCCTCGCTAAGGGGGGCCAGACCTGACAATTCTGTAGTATATGGACGACCTCCTCCTGGTGGCCCATCCCAGGAACGGTGCTGGGAGGGAACGCACATGCTGCTGAAGCGCCTGGCTGAATTAAGGAAAGAACACCAGAAGCACATCCTGAACACACTCCTACTCTTCACATTGAGTTGCAGAGGGCACGCGCTGTGTATCTGAAGTGCCCCCACAGCCATCCACACAGTCCTCTGTCATAGCCCTTCACGGTGCTCTGTCAGGTTCGCCTGCCCCTCGCCTGCCCCAGTGGCCTGCAAGCTCCCTCAGGGCTCCGGCAGTGTTGCCAGGCACAGAGCTCAGTAACCAGGCTTGTTGGAAGTACTCACGGTGTGATCAGGGGCACGGACAGAAAATGGCAGAGTTGCCAACACCCTCCAGAACCTTGTCTGATTTCTGAGAAAAATGCTCATTCTCCTGAGGAAAAGCCAGCCTGCACCCTGCTGCTGTGGAACTTGGCCCTACTACCAGGCTTTGAAGGGTCCGGACATTAAGCCTCTGGAATGGGGAGAAAATGAAGAGAAACCCTTCCAAGATATCAAGGGGTGCCTCAGTGATCTTCCTGCCCTTGGACTGTCAGAGCCAAGGCGACCTTTTGATCTGTATACCCACAAGAGAGACAAGGTAGCCCTTGGCTCCTGACCCAGCCTGTTGGACCATGACAACACCTGGTGGCTTACCTGTCTAAGCAGTTGGACCATGTTACCACCAGCTGGCCACCTTGTCTGAGGGCAGTCACTGCTGCCGTAACCCTCTTGCAAGAGGCAGACAAGTTAACTCTAGGCCAAGAAGTCAGTCTTCACGTACCACATGCAGTGAACAGCCTCCTTGCTGGGCAGGGGCATAAGTGGCTGTCGAACCCTAGACTGACTCAGTACCAGGGCATCCTCCAAGGAAACCTGAGGGTGCATGTTAAGACCATGAAATGAGTCAATCCAGCCACCTACTTACTGGCAGAACTTGGAGATCTGGACCATGAGTGTCTTGAAGTAACCAAAGAGTTTCACGCCAGCCGGCCAGACCTTCAGGACCAGCCCCTGGCCCGACCTAATATCACCCACTACATGGATGGAAGCAGCTGTATGATTGAGGGCAGGAGAGTTGCAGGGTACACATACCAGGAAACTGGACTGCTCTGGACAGACTTGCTGCTGCTAGCATTGCCCAGGTCGCAGGAATCACCCCTTGGATCCACTACAGCCGGGCCAAAATAGCAGCAGATCCTAAGGACCCGAGGATTAGGCCTGCACCTAGAATACCCATGCTGAGGCACCAGAGGATGCCACCCAGTAAAGAAGACATCAAGGAATGGACCATTGTTCTGGAGGGTGCCTGACTTTAATTGGCACCTTCATAGGAGCATTGGGAATCGAACTAGTTACTGTGACCCCTGCAAAATGGAATCCCAAGGAGCGGATCACCCTAGGAATAGTTTATCTCTGTTTGGTCTCTGCATTTGGGTTTATTGTATGCTTCGCTTAACAAATGCAGCCCCTGTCTCAGCCCCAGCCTGCAAATGTAATACCCCCGGGCACAGGATTATGCTCAGCGGTAAAGTGGTCTATTACTATCTCCCAGGGTCAGCTTTCAGCTCCTCCACTGACATGCCATCCGGTTGCGTTCAGCCACAACAATCCCTCTGCACTTGGAGAGGGAAGATATACCAGGCTAGAGTGATATCCAGGACCATAGGATACCAGACCCGAAAGTGTCAGGCATATGGGACCCTGCATCCTCTGGACCTTGGTCCAACACCTGGGGCCACAGTGACTTGTCGGGCAGCCGCCAAAGTGTTAGCCCTCCAGTGGTACCAACACCAGTATCAGCATTAATCCTCCCAAGGACCTCAGCCATATAGCCAGGTATATAGTGATGCTAAAGGGATAAAAACACCTTATAGCATCAAAGGGGGGAATTTGACAGGACATAGCTGAGCAGTAGCTATTCTTAGGTAGGAGCTGACCCGCAGCCATTCCCAGATAAGCAGTTATCTCAAGGTCATACACTAACCCCCGTTTTAGCAGCTGCACTCCTTTCTCATCCTCCTTCTGCCTGTGTAACAAGCATGTAAAGGAAACTCCAGCTTGAGCTCATTGCTCAGAATTTGGAATTCCCCTCTGAGCCCACGCACGTAATGAAGGATCGTGCTCCGCAATCTCTCCCATGTGTGAGTTATTTTCCGCAACACCAAAAGACTAGCAGCTGATTTCTCAAAAGGAACCTTGCAGGTAAGAAGGGGCTGGAAAGAAGTATCCAAAGTCATGAAAGGCAAGGACCTATATCCAAGATTACTCTATCCAGCAAAGCTGTCATTTAGAATGGAAGGGCAGATAAAGTGCTTCCCAGATAAGGTCAAGTTAAAGGAGTTCATCATCACCAAGCCCTTATTTTATGAAATGTTAAAGGGACTTATCTAAGAAAAAGAAGATAAAAAATATGAACAATAAAATGACAACAAACTCACAAGTATCAACAACTGAACCTAAAAATAGAAAAATAAACTAAGCAAACAACTAGAAAAAGAATAGAATCACAGAAATGGAGATCATATTTAGGGTTATCAGTGGGTAAGGGGAGAGGGAATGGGGGATAAAGTACAGGGAATAAATGGCATAAATGGTAGGTAGAAAATAGATAGGGGGAGGTTAAGAATAGTATAGGAAATGTAGAAGCCAAAGAACTTATATGTACAAATCATGGACATGAATTAAGGTGGGGGAATGTGGGTGGGAGGTTGTGTGCAGGGCAGAAAAAAAAAGAGAAAGGACATAAGCCCTGGCTGGTGTAGCTCAGTGGACTGAGCATCATCCTGTGAACCAAAATGTTGCCAGTTCGATTTCTGGTCCAGGTATATGCTTGGGTTGTGGGCCAGGTTCCTAGTTGGTGGTGCAATCACATTGATGTTTCTCTCCCTCTCTTCCCCTCAGAAAAATAAATAAATAAACTTTTTTTAAAAAAGGGATATAAATACCATAAAAATAATCAGTCAGAAAGGGAGAATACAATATCTGAAGTGAAGAATACATGATAAGGAATCAGCAGTAGGTTAGATTAAGCAGAGGATCAAATCAGCGATTTGGGAGAAAAGGAAGCAGAAAACATTCAATCATAGAAGCAAAGAAAAAAAAACAAAAAGTTAGAAAAGTTTAAGAAACCTCTGGGACAACATGAAGCATAACTACATCAACATCATGGGGACACCAGAAGGAGAAGAGAGACACTAAGGGATTGAGAACCTATTTGAAGAAATAATGACCTAAACTTTCCTAACCTGGTGAAGGAGAAAGTCACACAAGACCAGGAAGCACAGAGAGTCCCAAACAAGATGAAACCAAGGAGGCCCATACATAATTAAAATGGCAAAGGTTAAAGACAAAGAAACAAATTTAAAAGCAGCAAGAGAAAGACAGTTACCTACAAGGGAGGCCCTATAAGTCTGTCCACTGATATGTCAAAAGAAACATTTCAGCCCAGAAGGGACTGGCACAAAATATTCAAAGTGATGAAAAGCAAGGACCTACAACTAAGACTACTCTGTCCAGCAATGCTGTTATTTAAAATTGAAGGATAAATAAAAAACTTCCCAGATAAGAAAAAGCTTTAAAAATGTTCATTACCACCAAAGCAGTATTATAAGAAATTTTAAAGGGACTTCTATATTAAAAAGAGAGTTAAAAAAGGAGGTATACAGTTATAAAAAAATAAAATGGCAATAAGTATATACCTATAAATAATCAACTTTAAAAGTAAATGGATTAAATGCTCTAATAAAAGACATAAGGTGGATGAATGAAAAAGAAAACAAGACCCATATATGGGCTGTCTACAAGACACCCACCTCAGAATGATACAATCAAACTGAAACTAAAGGGATTGAAAAATACATGTATTTTATGCAAATAGAAATTTTCAAAAGCTGAGGTAGCAATATTTATGTGAGACAAAATAGACTTTAAACAAAGACTATAATAAGAGACAAAGAACATTACATAATAATAAAGGGATCAATCCTATATGAGGATATAACCCTTGTAAACATTTATGCAAACATAGGAGCACCTAAATATATAAAGCAAAACTTGATATACATAAAGGGAGGGATTGATAGAAAAACGTCATAGCAGCAAATTTTAATATCCCACTGATATCAATGGGTAGACCTTCACGAATGAAAATCAATAAAAAAAACCCCAGCAGCTTTAAATGACACACTAGACCAGATAGTTTTGATATTTGCAGAGCATTTCACACCAAAAAGCAGAATATACACTCTTTTCAAGTGCACACAAACCATTTCCTAGGATAGATCACAGGTTAAGACCACAAAACAAGTCTCAGAAAATATAAATAGAATGAAAGCATCTATCAAGCATCTTCTCTGAGCAAAATGGTATGAAACTAGAAATCAATTACAAGAAAAAAACTGAACAACACAGTAACACATGAAGGCTAAATAATATGTTACTAAACAATGAATGGGTAAACAATGAGACCAAGGAAGAAATCAAAATATACCTTGATACACATGAAAACATAACAGAAAATCAATGAGACACAGCAAAAGCGATCATAAGAGGGAAATTCATAGTATTACAGGCCTATTTCAAGAAAAAAGAAAAAGCTCAAATAAACAACCTAACCTTACATCTAAAGGAATTAGAAAAAGAACAACAAAGCTAAAGTAAGTAGAAAGAAGGAAATAAAAAAAGATCAGCTATGAAATAAATGAAATAGTGAGTGTACAAAAGCAATAGAAAAGATCAATGAAATCAAGAGCTGGTTCTTTGAAAAGGTAAACAACAGTGATAAACCTTGAACCAGTCTCAGGAAAGAAAAAAAGAGAGAGGACCCAAATAAATAAAATTAAAAATGAAAGATGAGAATTAAAAACAGACACCACCAAAAACAAAGAATTATAAGAAAATATTACAAACCATAAGCCAAGAAATTGGACAATCTGGAAAAAATGGATCAATTCCTAGAAACATATAATTTTACAAAACTGAATAAAAAAGAAACAGAAAATCTTAACAGAATGATTTAAAAACTCCCAACAAACAAGAATCCTGCACTGAGTGCTTTCACAGGTGAATTTTACCATTCAAAGAAGAACTAATACCTGTTGTTCTCAAACTACTCCAAAAATGCAAAAGAAACACTCCCAAGCTAATTTTTAGGAAAAAGCAAGCATTATCCTAATTCCAAAACCAGAAATTGAAGACCATACAATTGAAGACCACACTTCCATTATGAAATGGGTACTATGATCATGAATAGGAAAAATTACCATTGGTAAAATGTCCATATTATGCAAAGCAATCTATAGATTTAATGTAATTCCTACCAAAATACCAATGGCATTTCTCACAGAACTACAACAAATATTCCAAAAACTTACATGGAACCACAAAAGATCCTGAATAGCCACAGCAATCTTGGGAAATAAGAATAAATTTTGAGGTATCACCTTGATTATCAGACTATACTACAAAGCTATAGTAATCAAAACAGCATGGTACTGGCATAAAATCAGATATATCAATCAAAGAAATAGAATAAAGAGCCCAGAAATAAACTCGATATGGCCAATTAATATTTGAAAAATAAATGAAGCAAAATAAATGAACGAACAATATTAAAAGATTCCTAGACACAGAGAACATACTGATGATTGCCAATGGTTAGGGGAGTTGGGGGACTGGTAGAAAAAAGTAAAGGAATTAAAAAGTACAGATTGGTAGTTACAGGGATGTAAAGTACAATATAGGAAATATAGTCAATAATATTGTAGTAACTATGTATGTTGTCAGATGGGTACTAGATTTATTGGGGTAATCACTTCATAAATTATGTAAATGTATAATCACTGGGTTGTACCCCTGAAATGAATATAATATTATATGCCAGCAATAATGAAAAATTTTTTAAATGTTTTAAAAATTTAAATTAAAATGTCACATAAAAAAGGGAATCTACTTTTCCCCTTTGTATTTAATCCTGTTTAAAAAAACAATAACTTGGCCCTGGTCAGTGTGGCTCAGTTGGTTGTAGCATTATCCTGTAAACTGGAGGTTGCAGGTTTGGTCCTAATTTGGGGTGCATAAGAGAGGCAACCAATCGATGTTTCTCTCCCTCTTTCTCCCCTCTCTAAAATCAATGGTCATGTCCTTGGGTAAGAATAAAAAATAACTTAAATGATATTCTTAGATGATAGTACCTTTTTCAAGGCTGTTTTTTGTTTTGTTTTGTTTACTGATTCTGCTTCCTTTTTACGTACAGGCATCGAAACTAGAGGAAAAGAAGACAATTGCAATTTGTAAAATATTTAACAAATAGCTTTTGTTGAAAAAATTTATATTAAGACTTTTAAGTACATTGTTTTCTTCAGTTCAACAAACCAATTTTAGCTCACCTGACCTCCAATTATTAGAAGAAAAAGTATTCAAAAACTTGTACAGTAAAAAGAACAATAGGAAGAAATCTATATGAAAATATTCTTAGGGGGAAGTATACCAAATAGTACATATTTATTTCTGGGTGCTATTTTCTTCTTTGGGTCTTTCCTCAAATTAAATTATATTACTTTTATTAAAAAGAAAAACATACTGGAAGTTCGAAGACTGACCTTATAGTTCTGATTGTGGTAATAACTCATTGTGAAATCAGTGGACTTGACTGAATGATTTGTTAGGTCTCTTCAAATTTAATGTTCAGACACTAACATATAGTTACCATAAACACACATTAATCATGACTTATTCTTCTGTAAGACATTCATATTTTGGAAAAGAAGCAAAGGACACAAAAATAAGCTCATAAGCCTTCCAAATTATGTCTTGGAGATAGACTCATCCCTGTCTCCTATACCTACAGTGATGTATAATACACAGTCACTGTTTGAACAATAGCTATGACCTTCAATCAATCATCAAAGATTCTATTATCTTCATTGTGTTTTTAACAAGGGATGAAAATGATGATATATTTTAGAAACTTCTTCAACATAAGTAGGAACAAACTACATTTTCTTTCTAATTCTCCAGGGAACAAGAAATTCCATACATCAAAACCCCAAATGCAGTTTAGTCAGTCATAATTAACCCCAATTTTACTAGTGGTAGCTGGATAAAAAATATTTAAGCTAGGAAGATCTCTACTGAGTGAGTATTTTTGAACAGATATTTACCATGGAGCTGACTGAAATAAATTCTTCCTTAGAAAGTTCATCTCCCTTTGAAGGGTCCTTGAATTTCACTTCAACATAAGCTGAAAATAGATTACCAAAATCAAATTTACTAACAACGAGGGAAAAGAAACAGGTCCTTTAACAGCTCAAGTATATCTGGGGGCAGAGAGTTAAGTAAAGGGTTTCTGTGAAATAAAGACATATGAAGAAATGTGGAAGTGGTATTCTTTCATTGTATAGCAAATAACAAAAAATACTTGATCACTTTGACTTCTATTATTTCTCCTATTTGTTTTTAATAGTTTTCCAAGAGCCATTACAACTGAAAGAAAATGTGGCTTGGAAATCTCTAAAAATGTGACCTTAGTCATTTAAAAATATCTTTAATAATAAGAAAAACATGAAATTGAATGCTCTAACAGATATGTAGTGTTCTTTCTATTTTTTGACCATTCTACTTAAACATATTCATTACATGACAATATTAAACATTTTAATGGCAATTTGACTTGACAATATAACATCTTTCATAATTAAATCATTAAGAGGTTTGTTTTAATGCTGTATTTGTGATCTGAGTGTATGAAGAGTTAAAGATGACTTTCAGATTTTTGGTCTGGTAAAAGAATGGTTCCTGGTTACCCTGGGAAGACTCTAAAAGAGATCCCAAGTGTAGTTTTAGACAATGCTGGGTTTGTGTGTGTGTGTGTGTGTGAATTACCTTATCTAACCTAAAAGGTACTTTTGCTAAAGGTAACTTTTGCTAATATGTTCCTTTACTTTAAAGCCTAAGACTGTTTTCCCAAAATATGAATCAGGCTTGAAAATGGGAGCCTCTTAATAGTTAGTGGGAAACACTTAAGTAAACTGGAATGGTGTGGTAACTGAGGCAGTATGGTAGAATAGAAAAACTTTAGCTTGGGAGTCAGACCTCCACTTGAACCCCAACTATGCAATGTATTAGGTGCATGATCTTATGCAAATAATTTCATCTTTCTTACCCTTAGTTTCCTTATTGTCAAAGTTGGAAGTATTGTATAATACCACCTTTCAGGAATATTGTATGAATTACATATAAGAATGCATGTAAAATAAATGCCTTGACAGAACAAGTTTTCACTCAATAAATGGTAGCTTTTGTTTCCTTTTCTAAATGTTCACTGTCCATAGCTTGGTCTCATTTTTCTGTATAATTTGTAGTATTTCACAATTTTGGCAGTTTGTCTAAAGTTAAATTTTACTCTCTAAATGCCAGCAACAATAAAAATTCAACATTATACCAATATTCAAATGATAGGTAGTTCTTATATACAAACTATCTTTAAATTGACAGACCACTAATAGAAGGAGAACTTGTAAACCCATCTGTTACACAGAATCTCTTCTATAGATTTCACTATATCTATGTATCAGCAAAAGTACTAGTAGTATGACCGATGGACCACAATAAAGGAATTACCTTATATATTGAGCATTATGTTATTTGTTAAAGTGGGATTATATCTGTAATTATATTTGTTAAAATGGAATCAACTCCTATACATCATTAAAGACTGTTAAACTCTTACCTGGAGGAATAATACATCTTAAAAATTAGTTTAAGCTTCTCAGTAAAACCTCCATTGTACATTATGTCTGTTCAATAAAATTGAATTGCAAATAGTCACACATCCAAAGGACATTCAATCAATTCCAGCAATACAGATTAATTAAGGTACAGATATTCACCTGGAATTAGAATTCAGAAACCTTCCTTAAGCTAACAGTTAAATAACCACCCAGTCATCCAGATTCTCTCTGTCTAGAGTGTAAGCAAAATCCCCTTTATCAGAGGGATAAAATGCTCTTCCTGCCAATCTTCCTTTCCCCAACCTCATATTTCTTCTTTCTTTTGCATGTGGCCATATGCCTCAGTTGAGGAGAGAACTCCCCTTCAAGGAAATATCCCTGATGAGAAAGAATGCTTGGGTGTTGGAAAATAAAGGAATGATAAAACTGGTAGCCTATTTCCAGGTACAACATGTTTGTTGGATATTTCTCTGCCACTGTTTACCACTATGTGGTTGGATTTTTACTGAGGGAGAAGGTTGTCTTAAAGTATCCATTTGCCTGAGTGTGGAAAAATCAGAACATTCCCTTCCTTCATGTTAACTGTTAAAATATCCATATCTAAAAGTTTGCTTCTTTTGGAAGGGTTGGGACAAAATGAGACCAATATACATAGATTTAGCAACAAACACAGAAAAGGGTCTAGTTTTTGCTAAAGCTGGAAACAATGTAACTCAGGCTGAAAAAATCTGACTAAATTGGCAATAATAAGCAGTACAAATATTTTTAGGGGTACCTTTATTTTTTGTTTGAAAAAAGAAAATATTCGATATTATCCTACCAATTGCAGAGGAGAATTCTTTGAAGTTTATAAGGCAGTCAGAGTTTTTGTCCAACAAGGCAGTCTATGGCAGTCTGAATGTCCATAAAGTTAGTTTAGTCTCTGTTTGCAGAAGTAGCCCAGGGACTCAATGAGTAAATATGACACTCTGAACTGCTGGCAGTCAATCTGATACTGTTGCAAATATGGCAGATGGGTGTCATGGTGCCTCAACACTGGACAACTCAAACACCAATAATACAAAAAAAGGTTTTAGTTCTAGTTCCCTTTCTGAAGTTTTGTTCTGTTCTTTCATTTGGGCTCTATTTCCTTGTCTCGGTGCACCTGATAAATTGTAAGGGGGTGGGGCCTTAGGTATTCACCCAGGCTGGGCAACCCTTTTTGCTGCCTGTGGGGGGAGGGGCTGGAGAGGGAACAATGTAGCTCCCCTGCTCTAGCGCAGTTTCCAATGGACTCTCTGTGAGACTGGGAGTTTCTCCCACCACAACCACCTCTGCTGTAATCCACAGTCACCTTTGAGGCTCAGTTTCACTTTCAGCCAGCCCCACCCACGAAGTCTGCTATCTTGCCTCAGTTTTTCTGAGCCAGGCCAGTCCGAGGGGTCTGCCTCCTGGTCTGGTTGTTCTTATTGATTTTTTCTTTAATTCCTTGGTTGTCAGTGTTCCATGCAGTTTGACTTTCTGGAGCTTCTGGTTATTTATTGATTTTAGATTGGTTGTTATCCTCCTTTTGGCTGTGCGAAGAATCAAAGGGTTTCTACCTATGCCTCCATCTTGGCCAGGACTCCCAAGAAACTCAGGAAAAATAGTTTAGTTTATTCTTCTAAAATTCCTGTGTAAGAGAAGGATTTTTAAAAAACCTAATAAACATGTGACCAGTGAAATAAGAAAGACAATTTTATTTTTTTATCTATCAAATTGGCACAAATTAGATTTTTAATATTTGATGTTGGGAATGTAGGAGAAAAGGGAACTCTTACACACTGTTTGTGGGACTGTAATTTGGTACAAATCATTTGGAGGATAATTTGGCAGGACCTGTCAATTTTCAAATGGGCAAACCCTTTGACCTAGTTTCTACTTCCAGGAATCCACCTTACCGATATACTCTTACAAATGTATAAAAATAGATATACAAGGATGTTTAAATAAGGTATTACTTATAAGAAAAAAATACTAAATGTATATCTACAAGGAATAAAGTATAGCATATCCATACTATAATATACTATTCAGTACATTATGAAAAGTAAGGTAGATCTGTATGTACTAATATACAATGACCATGATATATTTTTGAATGAAAAGTTGCAGAACAAAATGATGATTATGCTCTCATTAAAAAAAACAACAACTATATTACCTGCTCTTATCCCTGCATACAAATTTATGTCTATAGATATACAGAAAAATGATATGGAAGGACATATGCCAATCATTTTAATATTTGTTACTCAGGGTAGAAACCTTTATTTTTTACATTTATGGAATATCTGAATAATTTACAATAAGCATGTATTACTTTAGTATTTTTAAGAGTTAATATATGAAAACTAAAACAATTCTATGTTAATTATATCATAATAACATCACTGATTTAATTGAAATCTAAACCTAGAATCTTAAGAAATATTAATCTTTTCAGATTTTTACCTCTGAGGACTTGGCCTTTAAGCAAGTATGTTTCCAAATAAACAATACATGCTCATGAAAAAAGCTCAAACAGTCCTGAAGGATATATACAGCAAAGTAAACCTGTCCCTCTTCTGATTAGTAGTCTATTAATCCTGATCACCAGGGGCAACCAATATTAACAGCTTCTTATGTAAATATTCAAATATTTAAAAATGAGAGTATTAAAAAAACACTGTTAGACATTCTCCACTTTATCTTGAGTATCCAGGATAATAATACATATTAGAAGCATTGAGTACTATGTAGGTCAGATGTTTTCATTGGTAAAGCACATCACAAATGCATTATACTTAAATGCCTACATCATAGTATTCAGTATTGAAGGTCAAATAATACCAAAAAAAGTTGGAGAAACCAATATAATGGACTGGGTGAAAAAGGTTAAGAGATTGAGACATATGGATTGGTAGTTACAAAACAGCCATGGGGATGTAAAGTACAGTGTAGGAAATACAGTAAAAAATATTATAACTATTATAGTACCAGGTAGGTACTGGAAATATTGGGGGGAACATGTTGTAAAGTATATGATTGTCTAACCACTATACTGTTCACCTGAAAATAATACAAAATATTTAATGTAAACTGTAATTGAAAAAAAAAACAATTCCACCCTCAAAAGAAAATAACTTATTTCTTCCCCCAAAATATATAGTAAGCTAAGCTGTGGCAAAAATCTAGTTCAAATGTTTAGTTATTCTCATTTTCTTTACATAGAATGATAATGTTTTTTAAAGTTGAAGAAAAAATTATTACTCCAATTGATTTCCCCCCATTCAGTGGTTACTCACCACATTCTGCTTTGTCATTTCCTCCTGGGTCTGTATCAAATACAATCTATTTTGACAGTGCATGCTGTGTATATCTTCACAATGAACATTACCATATTTCTACAAAAATATGATTTCAGTGAATACTCATTAATAATAAATATCTACTTCTCTTACAATTCAATTTTATCAAACGTAATTCTCAGAGGCCTTCATTCTCTTTCTAGCTATTTTCTAAACTTGTTCAGTTTTTATACAAATTCTCACCTCCCACATTTCATTTTCTCTATATATTCACTGGAGAGAATTCTATCTACTATGTGCCTAGAATAAGTACAAGAACATCGGTAAAATTCTTGGTTTCTAAAAAGAGAATAATTTTGTCCATTTTATATAGTGATAGATATTTAAAAGTGGTAATTATTTGTGAAAGCAAGTGAATATCATTTCATTTAATGATAAGCAAATGGAAGCATAGGAGGGTACATAATCTAGGAACAGTTCACAGAACTCATTTGTAAAGTGAAGTCATATTTTAAAATTTTATCTTATATTACTATCTTACTCTTAATATACCACTAGAGACATAACTATAGATTATTTTAAATATGCTATGAAATTATTTATATTAAAATCTTACCTCATTTGACTCCCTAATCAAATCTATAATATCCACTCTGACTTCTTTTTTCATCACTCCCATTTGAACTTTGCTGAACTGTTGAAGGCAATGGGCTATCCTTATTAGTGATACTGTCAAAGAACCTATCCAGAAGTGATAGTAATACAAGAATTAGTGGAAGTAAATAAAATGCAGAGAAAAATGACAGATAATTTCTCCATAGTTAGTCAGAGGTTAATTTCAACTGATGGAATATAGGGTATGTAGAGGCACGTAAGGAGAAATAAGTTAAGAATAGGTACACCAATGCCTTAACATACGGAGTTATAAATGTTAGGGTGAGGTATTTATTATATTTTATTCTGTACATAATGGGATTTGATGTACTATTTCAAATTATACAATTAAATATTCATTTCACATATACATAGCATGTGCACACATGCATGTGCACAAACACCTACACACCCCAGTGCTTTAATACAAAACAGCATCCATAGAAAAGACACTAGGAAAATAAAGCTCAGCCTACCCATCTAGAAACCAGAACAATTTCCCCAATTGGATATTTATCATTATCAACTACCCATTCCCCTTCAAATTACTTTTACACAGTGATACTTTATAGCTCAAAATGGGAGTATGAAAGTTATAAAATAATGAATCAACAAAATTAGTGTCTTTCTTCAAAGTGATTTGCTTTTGCTATACTCTACTTGGAAACAGGAGTAGACTTGAGGCCTAGCTTTTTTATTCAACTAGCTCTGTGACCTTAAGCCAATTTCTTCAAGTTTCTAGGCTTACTTTCCTCACCTGTCAAGTAAGGGATTGAACAACATAATCTCTAAGGGGCCTTCAGATTTAAGTGTTATGATTCTTATAATACCTGTTTAAAGCTGTCACATCTTCAATATCATCTTTACATGCCAGCAGTTTGTCTAAATTAGTCAAGTATTGCCAATACCAGTTGTAAAACGGTCTTTAGTCCATCATAGAAGAAACAGTCCACCACATTCACTGCACTTTCAACAGGTAGTACACTAATAAAAACTGTGAGTAACCATGAGAGAGAAACTGAGGAAAAGAATGTCATATCAGTCATGTGTTCTGTCAGCTGGGGAAGATGATCCCTGATCTACCAAGGCACTGGGGGAACATGAAAAGAAGTCTAAAAATGAACACCTTTCAAAACAACTTGTTTCTGATATTTTCCACTTGTACTAGTATGCTCATATATCTCGTTTGTCCCCTAAATTGTGTCTTGCATCAAGAAACTCACTTCAAATTCATTTGAACAATTATTTATTGAGTTGTTATTATATGTAGAAAGCTGCTATACATCAATTGATGAAATGGTGTTATCTTCAATAAGCTTAATATCTAGTAGAACTCAAATAGACAAATGACTAAAAAGAAAGCCCATATAATCAATGACCTAGCTATGATGCTAAGGGCTTATGAGGGTACAAAGGAGAGACCATGTATGGTTTTAAGGTAGGAGATCATAAATCTATAAATATTTGATGACTAAAGACAATACTACACAATTAACAAACCAAGAACTTTGTTCTGCTTTCAAACTTTTCATATATCTATACAATCACATAACTATGGAGATTCTAAGCTAATCAAAATCTATCTCTTATCAAGAAATTATCCAGCAGCTCTCAATGCTTCAGATCACCATTGTTTTTTAGCAATACAGAAAGAAAAAACTTAAAATTTCTACTTTATTAAGAAACAGAGAAGCCCTGGCCAATGTGGCTCAGATGCTTGGAGTGTTGTCCCATAAACCAGAAGGTCATGCATTTCAGTTTAGGTTAGGGCACAGGCTTAGTTTGCAGGTTCGACCCCTGGTCAGGGCAGAAACAGGAAGCAACCAATCGATGTTTCTCTCCACATCAATGTTTTTCCCTTTCTCCCTTCCTTCCCCTCTCTGTGAAATCAATAAGCAAGTTCTTGGGCAAGGATAAAAAGGGAAATGAAGCAGGTTCTTTTTTTTTTTTAAAATCAACATTGCCCTGGCCAGTGTGACTCAGTTGGTTGGAGCATCATCCCATAAACCAAAAGGTCACGTGCTTGATTCCAAGTCAGGGCACATGCCTAGGTTGCAGGTTTAATCCCTGTCTGGATGTGTAGAAGAGGCAACCAATCAATGTTTCTCACATCGATGTTTCTCTCTTCTCCTCCCATCCTCTCTCTCTAAAATCAATGTGCATGTCCTGGGGTGAAGATTTAAAAAAAGCAACATATTAAACAATCATTATTTAGTTCCAAAAATTTTTTTCTTGAGTGTGTCAATGAATGTGGCATTTTGATACTGCTTGCATTTGATCAATTCTTCCACATGATAGGTAATTAGACAGACAAGAGGCACATGAATTGTTTAGAAAAGGAATATGTGTTTCTTCATGTGTGTTTCTTGTTTTTAGCAATGATTTGATTATTAAAATAATCAGGCAACATTCATTCACATACAGCAACCAGAAGCCAAAAAGCTTCTTTATCTTTTGAATACAGAAGCAACACTGAAGTCAAATGTTCATTTCCTAAAATTAATAGAAAAATTAAAAAATCTTTTAGATGATCCATTGAATTAAATTACTTTTCAAAAAACTGTTGATAAGTTTCAATGAATAAATAGTTTCAATATGTAATATTGTTGGTGCTCAACCCATTATAAATAATCAGTGGCAGAGAGAGCTAGCTATCCACCATAATCCATAACCCCTTCTATAATAGTATCTGGACATATGTGTGCTCAGCCACACATTTTGCAGAATTCTTTTTAAATAGGTGTGGTCATGAGATCAACCCTCTAACAGAATGTAGGTGAGAAATAAAAATTACAACTAAAGAATAATCATCATGCAGAACTGCCTGAAATATGGCTGAATGGAAGTCCTACAACTAGGGAATTAAATAAGAAGCCATATGGAGACTGGTAGGAAGGGTGGAGATGTAGGACGGGCTGGTCCCACAATCACAAGTGGCAAATTAAAAATTGGGAGGGATATGTGGGCTGCAGTGGATCCCCCAGAGAAGTGAGGCCCCCCAGCCCAGGGTTCCAGTGCCAAGAAGAGATGTCCTCATAACTTCTGCAAAAGCTAGTGGGGAACATTGAGGGAAACAGTGTCAAGGAAAAAAACTGAGGAAAACAGTGGGCCACTGGAGTCCCAGGAAGCTGCTCTTAAAGGGCCTACTAAGACTCATTCCCTCCTAGCTCCAGTGCTGGGGCAAGAGCTCAAAAGGCAACCAAGATATATGAGGAGGAACTGAATTGTCCAGCATCAGAGCAAGAGATGGGGCTGGGGGAAGCTCTCTCCTAGGCAGAAACACTGGCAGAGGCTGTTGTTCTTTTGATGAACCCTCCCGAAACAGAGCCAGCAGGTAGACGCTGTATCTGAGACTCTGTCAACCTGGCTCACACTTTTTGCCCCAACCTGGTGATTCCATGAGGCACCACCCCACTGAACTTTTGGACCCATCCAAGACGTTTCCAGTTCCTTTTCAATATGAATTGCCTGCCCTGGCTCACTCTTCAGATTTCCCTGAAATCTTTCAAATAAGCAGCATCTTACCTCTGCATGCCCCATACATCTTGCTAAGTGGCCATAGGCCTGGCACTATCAACAGCCAGCCTTGGTTTGCAGCTTGGCCTCACCTGGGCACCTCCCAGCCCAGCGAAAGTAGCAGCCATCCACAGATCGCTTTGTAGCTCATTTCAGGTCACCCAAGGCAGAAATTAGGTGGCAACTGACCTTGGCCTGTACCTCCAGAGAGTTCCCAGACCAGTGCAAATGGTGGACATCTTCAGTTCATGTCAAGGCACCACCACTCAACAACCTCTGTTGGGGGTCTGCCACAGATGAGAATAAGTCTACCAAGACATGATCTGCTTGGGAAGGAAAGGTGGCCGATCTCTCAGAGAAGGGCAGGAGCCTTTTCCACAATGGGTTTTTAATGGGTTCAATTTGCACAGTAATACAGGTAAAGCTCACCAATCATTGTCAGGCAGTAATGATCAAACAATAGATAACATTCAAAGAAATATGAGGACTTATTCTGAGTCAGGGTCAGTTAGGGCTATAAAGGGCTATAAAACTTTGGGGAACAAACTCATTTTATGCTTGGACCCTTATCAGAAAACTGAGGGCATTCTTGGCAAAGCCATTTTCACAGGACTTTATGTATTTTCTTAGGCCTGATCAACCCCAGGGAACTGCCTGTTCCTGCTGAGGATTGTACTGCCCTCCATCATTGTTTCAGGCTTAAGCTAGGCAGGGGAAGTAAGGTAGCCAAGAGATCAGGAGACTTCTCACAGACAGAATGAGGACTCAGGCCATGTCAAAGCTGAGGGGCAAGGGTCCATCATCCTCTTTTACTATACCCACCAAGTCCTTCTCTGAGGGCCCCTTCATGACTGTGCCTGTCTTAGGTCATTCCTCCCTTGAGGAATCTTACCCACCATTGGCCAATCAGTCATCCACCCAGGGCCAAGCAGGGTGAAGTAAAAGGGGGCAGAGGTGGTGCCCCTGCCAGGAAGATAAGCTTTGTCTCCTTAGTGGCTTATGGTCCCAAGGTCTCTTTACTCAGCCTTAACCATGGGGGGTTAGAGCTTCTGAAACCAGGCAGGGCAGTTCCCAACAAACCTCCACAAGTGATGCACTCAAGGGGAAGACTCAGTGGGTATCAGTGTCCTGCAGAAGTAAATCCTGATGTGTGGGGTGGGCACCTGCACAGCTGATTTTCCACAATGGTCAGAGAATTACAGCCAGTTCTTGGAGCTGATCAGCCTTGGAGTAAATCCCACCCAGTGATGTCCCAAGAGCAATTATGGCTCACCTACAAGAGGAGGATGTACACAGCTTGTGGGGCACACTATAAGTACCCAACTTGGGTGATCAGGGAGGCTGTGCCACTGTACTCTACAGGACACCTATTATATTAGGTCAAACTACCAAGACTGGGAGTCAAAGTACTTCCACCTAACATATAGAGACAAAACATAGGGAGGCTGTCAAAATGAAGAGACAAAGAAATACATCCCAAATGAAAAAAAAAACAGAACAAAAGTTCAGAAGTTGTAAACAAAATGGAGACAGAAATCTACTACATGCATAGTTAAAAACACTGGTTATAAGGATGCTCAATAAACTTACTGAGAATTTCAACAGCATAAAAAAGGACCAATGAGAAATGAAGGACGCACTCACCAAAATGAACAATAATTTATAAGGAACCAACAATAGAGTAGATAAAGCCAAGAATCAAATTAGCAATTTGGAATAAAAGGAAGCAAAAACCACCCAATGAGAACAGAAAAAAGTAAAAAGAATACCCCCACCCCTGCAAGTGAGGACAGTGTAAGGAGCCTCTGGGGCAACTTCAATCATATCAACATTCAATCATGGGGGTGCCAGAAGAAGGAGAGAACAATGAAAACCTATTTGAAAAAAAATTACAGAAAACTTCCCTAACTTGGTGAAGGCAATAGACATACAAGTCCAGGAAGCACAGAGAGTCCCAAACATTATGCACCCAAAGAGGCCCACACCAATGACACATTGTAATTAAAATGCCAAAGTTACATACAAAGAAAGAATTTTAAAAGAAGCAAGAGAAAAGCAGTTAGTTACCTATAAGGGATCTCCCATAAGACTGTCAGCTGAGTTCTCAACAGGAGCTCTGCAGGCCAGAAGGGATTGGCAAGAAATAGTCAAAGTGGTGAAAAGCAAGGACCTACTACCAAGATTACTCTACCTAGAAAAGCTATCATTTAGAACAGGACAGATAAGTTTCCCAGACAAGAAAAAGCTAAAAGAGTTCATGACCATCAAACCAGTACTATATGAAATGTTAAAGTGTCTTTTCTTTAAGGAGAAAAAAAAAGATTAAAAAATATAAATAATAAAACAGTAGTGTATACATAAAATTGATTTGAGGAGATTCAAGATGGTGGCAGAGTAGTTGATAGTTCCATCCACTTGCTCCCAGACCTGGACTGAACTTGCAGTCAAAACACAGAGTGGAGAGTGAGTGAGAGCATCTGTGAGTGAGCTTGTAAGTGGATGATGAGTGCAGGGAGTGTGCAAGAACCAGCCCACCTGCAGGATGCCCAAGCCAGCAGCCTGGACCTTCTAAGCTGAGCCACCATGGTTGCACAGCTCAGCACTTCTGGCTGCACAGAGTCAGGGCAGCTGCGAATTGGCTTAGGAATCATGAGCTACTGGGGTGGAGAGAGAAAGCCTGGGAGGTGCGGGCATCAGAAACAGCATGGTGGGAGCTGGCCCACCCAAGACTGAAGATCTCTGGAGGAAGCGGGGTCAGCACTTTGCCCCTGCTATATTATAGTATAGCTACGGGGCTCTTCCCAGTGCCATCTAGGAAAGATTCAGAGAGAAACTTTATCTAAGACCTTTCAGAAGGTCTGAAAGGCAGTGGCCAGCCCTGACTGTGAGAGACCCTGTGAATTTCCAGGAGAGGATGCATGTGGAGAACAGGACCCACAGGGACCAGTGCTACACTGTGGGGCCACATAGAAATTTGGTAGGGAACCAGGGCTCACACACCTGTGTGTGCAGGCACAGTGGCTCTGCTAACCAAAAACTCAGATGGATAGAGTATACCGAATGAACGGTAGGACCCAACCCAGCATGGCTCACAAGCAGAGGTCTGTTCAGAGTGAAGAATTCAGGCCAAACCTCCTGCAAGAGAGCTGCAGACTCAGGCCTGGAAAGTAGGGGCTGAATGCCTGTGATTTGATACAGTCAGCCAGATCCCCTCAAAGACAGGTGAGCCAAACCCCTAGTGAGTCCAGGGTTAAGAGTCTCCTGCCGGGTACATTTCCACAAGGAAAAGAAGGAAAAGCTTTGTAAAGGCCCTTCATTAGAAACTATGAGCTACTACAGTGCCTTGGGCCCTGATTTACTAAACCCAGCAAAAAAGAAAGAATGGAGACAGAGGATGGAAGATGGCTATTATATATGTGGGACCTGAGTCCACTTGATTGTGCACCCAACTGGGACACTTAGCTAATCCTCTGAAAAACAAAGTCAACAGCCAAGACAATCTCAGCTGATATGAAGTTTGGAAGCCAAAGTGTGCAGAGAGCGCTTCACAATGGGTGGTAGGAGGGTTGATAGGATGATGGGAAGGTCCAAGGGCCTGGTGCCAAAGACTGTGGCTGTGGGTACACTGGAAGAGAGCCAGGTCAGTGATAGCTGCCTAGAGGCTCTTTCCCCTCCCAGGGTGGGGAAGTCCCAGACCTGCGACAGGAGACACCTAGACCCATGAAGTCAGGGGGGCGGGGAAGGGCAGCAAGCAACACACAATGGGTGGAGTACTCAGGCTGAGACATTGCCAGAGAATTTGGAGGAACCTGGTGACACCTGGAGCTGGGAGACGACATGGGCCATGGCTGGATGTGACCCAGAAAGACTCTGGACTTGCCAGAGGGTTGGACTGTGTGGAAAGCCGGGCAGTGGTTTAGAGTGGCAGCAGTGCACAGACTTTTTTCAAAAGGGCAACTGAGGGGTCAGTGCAGGGACCTTGTGCAGACAGCAGCCTGGCCAAAAAAGAGGGAGGAATGGGGGCATGATTTGCTCCCACTCAGTGCACCACATGGACTGATCAAAGGGGTGCAAAGCAAAGTGGCTTATTGGTGCTGGCCGGTGCAAATGCACAGAGAGGACAGTGTGGGCTGCACAGTGCTCTGAGGGCCTGGGCTGGAAATTGGGCACTTGTGATTATGGTAGCCACACTAAGCCCCCATTCTTGTGGAACCACAAGAAAGGGTTCCACTGGAACCCAGCACCAGTCTCCTGCAGAAAATGGGAAGATTTGTAAAACCTGCTGGGCAGGTTTTTTTTTTTCTTTTTTCCCTCAAGAGTAAGACAGTAAGAATTGGAGCTAAGAGAAAACCAGAGATGGATCAGGAAATAAGAAGGCAAATACCAAGAGTGGAGACAAATTTCACCTCTTCATCAGAACTCATATTTTTTGTTTTATTTCTCTTTCTTTTGTTTACTTAGTTTTCTTTAGTTTGCTTGTTTTTTTCTCTTCTCCCTTTCATATGGCATTTTCATTTTGCTTCTTTCACTTCACTCATATCCCAAATAACTCACTATTCTTAGTCTTATATTTTTTATTCAGTTTACATATTCTTATCATATCATTATTATGTCAAGTCCCATATAGCACTCTTTCCTGGTTTTAATTCATTTCACCATCTTCCTGAGCTTTATTACTGTTGGTGAATACTTTATATTCTCTCACCCTACACCAGGGTTCTATCTCTTCTCTCACTATTTCTCCTTCATCTAACCTCACATAAGCACTCTTCTTGCATAAGTAAACTCATTCTTTTTCCCCTCTTATAAGAGTCTTATTGCAAAAAACAAAGTGAAGTGGGAAGATGGCAGTGAGATAGGTGGGAGTGGAGTCTACTTTTCCCTGTGCACAGGTGGGACACCTAGCTGATCTTCTCAGGAACAGAATGAACAGCCAACAATATCCCAGCATATATAAAGGTTGGAGGCCAAAACTGTAGAGGACATTGAAAAATCAGATAGTAAAGAGATTGCTTTGGTTTGATAAGG